CAGTTACATAAGATATAAATGTTTTGATCTTAATGTACGAAAAAAAAAACATGAAACGTGATGACTTTTTAAAAAAATTGTGTTGCATCATCGGCCATTGTTGCATCATCGGCCATTTCTCCATACGTCCTTCATGCTGCCTCTGACCAAGCCCTGGCCTCCACATCACCTTCCCATGTCTCCCTGGAGATTTGTCCTCCACCATCCCATCCTCCCTTTCCTAATCATTCCCAGTCTCTCCCATCACCCTCTTGTCCCCAGAGAAGGGAATATCCTTCCATGGTGGAATCCGTTTATTATCCCTTACTATAACACGTACCATCTCTCCCTTTCCACCACGGAGGGATCGTTGGGGGATGTCCTTCACCTTCCTTCCAGTGCTCTGCGTTTTGCGTCACACGCCTATCGCTTTCGCGAGCTGACAGTCTGACGCAGCTTGACAACGTATACACGCCATCAACTGTCTGATTTCCTAATTTATTTATCTACACTTGCGCTAGCCATAAAGTCACTGATTGATGGGTGCAATTTTGAGCATTTGGACAATTCCCAAGGCTCAGCAACGACAGCTGCCTGGCAGTGTTGGGTCATTGCTTTTATGCGCTGCAGGACAGCAGGAGTTCTACGATGAATAGTTACGCGAGGTGTCAATATATAAATCTATAGTATGAAGTTATTCATGTCAATCTGAGGCGTAGCGCAAACGTCCGTCTTCGCAGTTACTGTACGTAAGCGCCACAGCCGAATGTCATGGGTGTAATTTAAACGCAACTCCGTCTGCAACAACAACTGTCACTTCGCCTTCACACTTCAGAAGGACGGGAAGTAGCAACAAATGGCAAAGCAGTACAAGTGCACACTCTTCACTAACCATTCAGGCGAGGGCCATGTAGCCCTGCCATATATAGCACTGATGTCACAACAGTGTACGTCATTCCAAGCCTTTGAAGCACCTGGTTCACAGTGAGAGGCCTTAGGAGACACACACACACACACAGCGACTCATTCACACTTTTACACACAAGGGGGGCGGGGGGGGGGGGGGGACTAGCGTTGT